GTCACTGAAGAGGCAGCTGCAAAGCTGGCTCTAAACTAACTCAGCCGATCTTTTTTACGTCAACGAGGCACTGGCTTTCACAGTTCCACTTCGTTTGACACTTCTTCCGTTCTGCAATTGGCGACACTCTGACCTTTCCGCCTACACAAGAGGAAGCGCTGCTGGGTGTACGTGTGCGCCCAGTCTGCAGACGTAAAGGCTTTTTACTAAAGCCCTTTTTGTCCCAACCTGTTAATTGGAGTTCATTGAGGGCTATTTTTTGAATTGAATTAATGTATTGTTTTACGTGGCGAGACTCAGGCCATGAGGACTCCTCTTCCGTCTGACCACGCAAATTTTGCTACGCTCCTTTCACCACCTAGCAGAGAAAGGAGTGAGATAAACTGGCGATTTGAATTTAGCTCGGAGGCGTCATTTAGGCTTGATCTTTTACATGCAAGTCAATCTACTAACATAGGACAGCCGGCTTTACTTCCCCTCCGAAGGAAGGCGCACAAAGAATTTTTTCGTCTTTATAAATCCACGGCTTCGATCGGGTTTGAACCCGCCAATTTGGGTATAACATTCCGATACGCTAACGCCGTTACACCATCCCCGCGCGAATTTTTTGTGGGCGTTGCTGCGTAGAATGTGGCCCCGTTCGCGCAAATTGTCCGCCCAGCTGGTCCAGAATCTCCGTGCGTGCTGTGTTGCAGGTGAACAACAACAACAACAACAGCGGCAGCAGCGAGGCGACGAGCGTGTGCGGGCGGCGGAAGCCCCGCGCGCAGCCCCCGCAGCCGCCGCCCCCCGCGCGCCCGGGCGCCCGCGGGCCCGCCGCCCCCCGGCGCCGCCGCCGCCCCCGCGCCGGCCCCCCCCCCGCGCCGGCGCCCGACGGCGCCGCGCCCCCGCGCCGCCCCGGCCGGCGCCCGCCCCGCCCCCCCGCCCCCGCCCGCCCGCCGGCCCCCGCCGGGCCGGCCCGCCGGCCCCGCCCCGGCCCCCCCCGCCGGCGCCAGCCCCGGCCCGCCCCGCGCCAGCCGGCCGGCGCCGCAGACGCCGCCCCCCGCCTGGGACGCCCGCGCTTGGCGCGGCCGCGCTCGCGGGCGGGGGCGAGAGGGGGCGTGCCCGAGCCTTGCACAGCGTGGCGGCCGCCCCGTAGCAGCCGGAGCGCTTCCCACAACCACCCGCCGCACGCGCTCTGGGCGGCCGCCTCGCGGCTGCGGCGCGCACCGCCCCCGCCTCCCCGCGCCGCAGGTCAGTCTCCCGGACGGACACGTACGCGTACACAACCGCTGTGTCCACACACCTCTATAATACAAGGACGTTGTGCAAAGGGTTAAGGTGAAATTTCACAACCAACACGTCCACAAGAATTAATTGACATAAAATGATGCCAAACCGCATTAGTGATATAACTGAAGAAGAATTCAAGAATATGAGGATTCGAATCGTAGTGTAACATGGATCATAGTATAAAATCGTTACATAGTATAACATGAATCGTAGCATAACATGAATCGTAGCGTAACATGCTTTCTACTAGAAGCCTTTTGTGTCCAACCTGTTAATTGAGTTCATCCTGAGGGCTATTTTTTGAAATATTGATGTAATGTAATTGTTTTTACGGTGGTCGCAGACTGCACGCGCCAATAGAGGACTCCTACTTCCGTCTGACCACGCAAATTTTGCTACGCTCTTTCACCAGGCCCCGCGCCCGCGCCCCCCCCCCCGCCGCCGCCGCGGCCCGCCGGCGGGGCCGCCCGGCCGCCCGGCCCCCGGCGCTTTCCTAGCAGAGAAAGGAAGTGAGATAAACGTGGCGATTTGACATTTAGCTCGGAGGCGTCATTTAGGCTTTGATCTTTTTACAATGCAAAAGTCAATCTACTAACATAGGACAAGCCGCTTTACTTCCCTGCCGAAGGAAGGCGCACAAGAATTTTTCGTCTTTATAAAATCCACGGCTTCGGATCGGTTTTGAACCCCGCCGAATTTGGGTATTAAACATTCCGATACGCTAAGCGACGTTAACAAATCCCGCGCCGAATTTTTTGGTGGGGCGTTGCTGCACGTAAGAAATGGTGGCCCCCGTGTTCGCGCAAATTGTCCGCCCAGCTGGTCCAGAAAAATCCCCGTGCGTGCTGTGTTGCAGGTGCCAACAACAACAACAACAAAGCGGCAGCAGCGAGGCGACGAGCGTTGTCGGGCGGCGGAAGCCCCCGCGCGCAGCCCCCGCAGCCGCCGCCCCCAGGCCCGCTCCCGGGCGCCCGCGGGCCCGCCGCCCCCCGGCGCCGCCGCCGCCCCCGCGCCGGCCCCCCCCCCGCGCCGGCGCCCGACGGCGCCGCGCCCCCGCGCCGCCCCGGCCGGCGCCCGCCCCGCCCCCCCGCCCCCGCCCGCCCGCCGGCCCCCGCCGGGCCGGCCCGCCGGCCCCGCCCCGGCCCCCCCCGCCGGCGCCAGCCCCGGCCCGCCCCGCGCCAGCCGGCCGGCGCCGCAGACGCCGCCCCCCGCCTGGGACGCCCGCGCTTGGCGCGGCCGCGCTCGCGGGCGGGGGCGAGAGGGGGCGTGCCCGAGCCTTGCACAGCGTGGCGGCCGCCCCGTAGCAGCCGGAGCGCTTCCCACAACCACCCGCCGCACGCGCTCTGGGCGGCCGCCTCGCGGCTGCGGCGCGCACCGCCCCGCGCCGCCCACCGCCTCCCCGCGCCACAGGTCAGTCCTCCGGACGGACCCACGTACGCGTACACAACCGCTGTGTCCACACACCTCTTATACTACAAGGACGTTGTGCAAAGGGTTAAGGTGAAATTTTCACAACCACACGTCCCACAAGAATTAAATTGACATAAAATGATCACACCGCATTAAGTGATAGTAAACTGACAGAAGAATTCAAGAATATGAGGAATGTCGAATCGTAGTGTAACATGGATCAATAGTTATAAAATCGTTACATAGTATAAATGGAATCGTAGCATAACATGAATCGTAGCGTAACATGAAATGCGTAGCGATAACATGAGATCGTAGCGTAACATGAATCGTAGTGTAACATGAAA